CGTTCTATAGGTAGTCCACCCGGGCCTTAAACTCAAATTATTTATTATTTTATGATTATTATTTTTTGTATTCCATTTTTTATTAGTTTTTAATAAATTTTAAAGAGATATAAACGAATTAAAAAAGAATTGATTAAAAAAGTGAATGGATTTTGATTTTTGAGAGGAATCAATAGATAAATATGAATATTCAATAAAAAGAGTGGAGAATATTATAAATAAATACCATTCGCATATATCCATAGGCGAATCCCTGAGGATGATGAAATGAAGCGATTGCTCTCAATTCTCTGGCCTCAGATGGGGCATATCCTCTCTCGATGGTAGAACAGGCCCATCGGACATCTGCATTCTTCTTATGAATAATTATGCTTCTTCCCAAAATACTCTGATACCCAAATATGGGTAGGAGAGTGTCGTTGTACGTCGAGGAGTATCTCCTCCGGTTTTCCAGGGTCCCGAATTTACCGCTCAGGTCCCCCAGCTCGTACTGATCAGTACTTCCCTCATTTGGGGGTAGAAACGCTGGTTTTGTGACGTTCAGGGGGTTGTAGGGCTCGTAGAGGCTCGTCGCTTCACAGGGAAACTCCAGGTCCATTTCTACTGGAGTCTTGATCAATTCGATTATTAATAACTTTTTTATTGAACCTTTATAGATTTAAGAAATTATCAATTAATTATGAAAATTAATTAAGAATTGTGGGGAATCAATTAGTCATATAATCAATTATTCAATAATTTCAATTGATAATTCCATGGGTTTGAATTTGTTTAATTTTTTAATTGAAATTTTATCAAATAACTCATTAATTATTTTAATTGACTAAATGATTTATTTAATAAATTACTGATTGGAAAGAGAATAAATAGCAGTCATGGAATCAATTATTCAATCGTTCTAATTAACAACTTCATAAATTAAATTTTTCAATTCATTAATTGAATTTATAAAATTAATTCAATAGATGTCAATTACGATTAGATAAAGATAATTTGTTATTCAATTAGTGAATGATGATTTTTATCATTTCGTCATCCCTTTATTAAAAAAAGAGAGTAACTAGATTTTAAACAAATTATTTATAATTATAAAATTATGAATTTTAATTTCAATTCTCGTTTTTTTTAAAAGACGGGAATTAAAATGGAGTCATTCTGTTTTTAAGAGCTGGATAGATATATATTGTACCATGTGAATATGGTAGACACCCGTTTTTCCCTCCAGTCCCTCGAGGACGACCTCCACATCAGTTACATCGTACTCCGTTTGCTGGATGAATTCAAATTTCCCATGAACACTAACTTGTTCGCTATTTCCAAACCAATCCTTGGCAACTGCTTTCCTCCTGTAGACTCTGCTGATGCTAGACAATGAAAAATGATTCCATCATCATGAATTAAAAAGTTATAAATTAAATAAATCACTTCCCTCTGCTTCACACGTCAAATAAAATTCATAAACTAATGAATTAAATCTTCTCGAGTCTTAACTAAATTAAAAAATGAAGTAAAAGCCCTAGAAAAATTACTGATCACCTTCTCTGGAGACCATCTGACTGAAAAAAACTTTTTTAAGAATGGAATTGTTTAATTCCTGTTGTAAAATTATGATAATTACAGCGTGCAGGCGAGTCTCTCGCCCCTGGCGACGGGTCCATGATCATCATAAATCACCAAACTCTTCCCCAGAATGGAGTTGGGCCCAGAGAGCGGGAGAGATGAATCTGTAAATAATTTTCTGCTGATCCTAGGTCCCTCGAATTTTCTCCCAGCAATGTCGAGAGTTCCATGACGGGATAGATCCCCTAGACGACAGAGATTCACCTCCTGGGGAGAGCAAAGCTCTGGATGATCTGGATCCCAATCTATCTTGTGTGGATTGTAGGGAGGACCTGCACTTAGACATCTGCCTGTCCAGTTGTAGTAATCTTTGCCTGGAGGATAATCGTGGACCATCCACCTGGAAAAATCAAATTAATTCCAATTTTCATTGAATATTAATGTTTAATTGTGGAGATGATGGGCTTGCTTGGAGGATTGACCTGTGCTCTGCGGAATTATTTAGAGCACTTCCATCCGCGTGAATTAAATTCTCGATTATAATTGTGGTGTCACTCTCAGGCTCGTTCTGGGGCTGCCGAAATAGAATTCTTCCCACCAGTGGATACTTGAATACCGCCTGTGCAGTCAGCATTGGCATCTGTCCAGCTGCTTGAGATAAATGCTGGGATATCGTACTGCATATCCAGGGAATTATTCCTTTATTGTCAGTCTCGTTGTACCTGAAAAATAAATTTTTGTCTTCAGTTCAGACAAAATCATCACATCTCGCACAAAGTGTGTGATTATTTCAAAAACACCCGGCCCTACGTAAAAATTATATTAACATTTTTTATGGAAAATTTCCTCATCTACAAAAAAGGTTCTACGATATTTTCTCGTGGGATGACTCCTCTGCCGATAAACGCAACATTATCCCCTGGAAAAACTCTCAAGACAAAACTAGCACAAATGCATGTGTTCCGTCATTTTTTGTAAATATCTCGTGACTGAAGAAAGATGACGAAATTTTCATAAATACCTTTTTTATAGATCCCATCTTTGTCTACAAAAAATGTAATGACAAAAAAATCGCTGTTGTCCATCAATTTCAAGATATCATCTAAAAACTGACCTGTCGAAAAATTCACCTGTTCTAGTTCACCACCTCCTTTCAGATTTCAAAAAATTAGAATCCCTAATTATTTTATTTTATCCTCAAATATTATATATTATTATATTATCAAATATTAATAAAAACTTTAATGAACTTATCACTCACTTGTGCATTACTACGGACCGATGGAGAACACTATCTCTCCCAGATAAGGGTAAAAAAATATCCCAGTAAATTCCATTCAACTTCGCGCTCCCAGGAAGAATATCCTGGTGTTGAGTGCCTTCCCTCCTCCCCTGGAGCTTTCCCGACAGGTCACCAACTGCATATTGATCTTGAGTCCCCAGTCCAGCTGGAGGGGTTGCATTGACATCTAATTTTCCAGGATTATACAATCCCCGGGTGCTCAGACACTCGGTTCCCACCTGGTGATCGGTGTCACGGGGGTTCCGTGGTAGATCGTGAATTCGATAAGCTGCGATTTTCGTTTCGTATCGAAGACGAGTCTCCAGGTCGTTGATCGGGTGCAAGGAGACGTTCACCCACGTCGGATGGTACGGCGTCTCTTGAGTGAATGTCACTTCGCCTTTCAGACCATGAGATGACACCAGACTCCTAGAAAATTAATGAAAGTTTCGGAGAAATGGGGTTGATATCGATAATAAATAATTATTGTTTTATTATTATTATTAATTATTAGTATTCTCTTCTCATCGTATGAGGTATATTATATACTTATTCATGGGGTAATTGTAGATTGAAACCATAAATTTATAATATAATAGCGTGAAATCGTTTATATGTATTTTAAGCACGATGTGCGGAAAAGTGACTTTCCCTCACATTGCGAAAAAAATTATTGTGGGTAATTCGTGCAGAAAGTTGGTTTTGGTATGTGGGATTATCCCACTCGCCTTCGGCTTGTGCGAGAAACCTCTCGTGAGCCAAAATCACTTTTCCGCACTTGTTACGAAATACACCATTTTCCTGGAAAAAAGCGAAAATTTTGTAGAGTTTATCATCTCGAATTCTTTTGTAGTTTTTTCAGAAAAATTTACTCAAAAACGATAATTTTGAAAAAAGGTGGCAGAAGGTCAAGTTTTGAAGTTACGGATGTTTGAAAATAAAAAATCCATTTTTTGGAAAAATTCATAACTCTGGGTTTGATCAACAAATTATTAAAAATTCAGAGAAACATTTCCTATGGGGTAGAAAAGGATAAACTATTTTTTGTTTAAAAAAGTGGTGGACTTGATATTAAAAACATTTTCTATTTTTGTAGAGTTATTGAAAATATATAAAAATTTCCGTTTATTGTTAATTATTATAGTCAATTGAATGTAATTCACGGAAATAATTTGTTTATCATTCCCCAGGTCTCAATGAGTTTTGTAAACTGAAATGTCCGAAAATGCTTAACAATAAACCTGAAAAATCTAAAATATTGAATTTTTGCCATCAACATTGAACTGATCCGATAATTAAAATCCGTACTTAGCCAGTATGAACTTCCGGTTCTTGATTTTAGCGCAGGCAAGGACGGAATCAGGATGCGTCGGGTGAAAGATAACGAGATAAAGCGAGCGATGAGTCCCCAGGAGATCAGCAGGCAGAAGAGAGATGACAGGATCCCTGTAGGCAGTTTTGAAGGTTCTGGAGTCAACGGCGACCTTGAGCTTCCCCAGTCTCGCGTCAACATCTCCAATGGACTTCCCAGAGCCCAAGTCATCAGGATCGAAGACACTCTGAAGAACTCTGCAGTCATTCCTGTCCTTCCCAGTGTCGAATATATCCGTCACGTAGATCTTCCAGTTGTGCTCGGTGAAGTCAATCCTCTGGAGTTTCTGTCTGGACGTGTGCTGGAGATCAGTGTAAATTATTGTATCGGTGATGGAGTCCCCGGGGGTTCCCCCAAGCCATCTGAACCAGACGGACCCAACCACTGGCCCATGGAATCGGGCCTCGGCGTTTTTCTCGGCATTCCTCTCCAAGACCGTTATCGAGGCACAGATTGTTCTCGGGGAGTAGATCTCCTTGAGGACGAGGCCCTTACCCCACAGCCCCTTCTCCCCGATCAAGCTGATGTTCGGGACTTCAGTCACTGTTGTCTCGTTTCCAGGAAGGGTCAGGGGCCCCACGTGCTCCGTCAGATCGATTATCCTAAGGAAATCGATTTATCCGAATTAGAAATAAGAGATGATCTTCCATAAATTATTTGTTGCTTCAAGATCTGATTGATTTATCACTGAGTAACAATCAATGCGAGGGGAGGAATTAATAATGTAGTGAATAAATATTTATCATTTATTTACTAGATTATTATTTAGTATTTATAATAGCAATAAATATTCCACGATTCATGGAATCAGTAATCGAATTCACATACGTTTCCCCTAAATACCGATCGCTGCATCGATCTTCAATCCTAGTGTAATCAACGGGGAATCTGGTGACAGCCCAAGTCCACTGCTGATCTGGATACTGGAGGGTCGTCTTCAGGGATAATCGTATCCTCAGGGTGTCATCGGTCCCGGGTTCAAACCGAATCTCCCCGTGGAGACCCCCAGATGATATATACGAAGTCAACCTGAGACCATCTCCACCGATCACTGAAATCCAATTCCGATCTCGCAATGATTTTATGCAACAATATTATTACAACAATTATTAATAACAATCCCATGATAAATTGCAAAACTAAGATACATTAATTCAACCATTTATCGACGATTATCTCCTAAATGACGGGAGATACCGATTTTTTTATGAGAACCTTTTCTTTAGTTCAGACATCGCTCTATAAAAAAGGTAATTACCAAAATTACTCTATCTCTTCTCATTCTTGAGTTAGTCAATTAAAAACAGAACTTGTTTATTGCAGTGGAATGGACGAACTACAAATGCAAATACTCGCAGAAATTTAATTGTTTACAGTAAATTCACTTGGAAAAAATATTTTTTCTTGTCAGGTAATCTAGTTTACTAGATAAGAGGATATAATATGATATTGTGATTAGCCTGCGCTGAGTCTAGAATAAATAAATAATCAGTGATTACCCAGGATTAGGAGAATGAACCAAAACATATTTCCACCTGGAATGTCAATCTCACAAGTTTATCCCATGACTATTGCATGCGTATCACGCACTTCCTGACTGTTCATTCCCAACTGTTCGTTCCTCCACTTTTACTTTGAAACTTTCTCATGCTCCAGGGCCCTGGCCCCTCCAGATCACCAGAGTGGGGACCTTGGAGCATAAAAATCCCGTTACTCAGATCTTGTGGAGGAACAGAAAAGAAAAATAATAATCGCCTCTGGACGATTGATTAAAATTACAGCTACAAATTAAGGGATGCTGGGGTAAACCGGAAAACGGCATTACAATATTTTAACAACATTTTTTATCATTTTTCTGTTATTAAAAAAAGATAAGTGGATTAATTGGGGGTTTAGAAATGATCCTAGCAGAACAGTCGCTGGTGATTCGATAACGACTTGATCCATTGATCGATTTATTCATTCGATCGATGGCTAGACGATCGTTGGTCGATCATTGGTCGATCATTGGTCGATCCCTGGTCGATCCCTGGTCGACGGTCTGCAGACAGATCGTCGATGATTAGTCGAACAAAATCAATCACCCGATGATAAATCAATACTCAACCAAATAAACGACTTGATCCATCAATCAATGTTCTATCAATTCGCATAATTCTATGGAACTATTAAAAAATGTTAAACTGTATTATTATCTATTATTTAATAACATTATTAACATTTTATTCTCAATCATTTGTTTATTAAAATTATTGCAAATATTCCCAACTCGATACTAAAATCATCCCCTGATTTCTACAATCTAATAAAAAAATCAAATGCTCAAAATAATCAGTAATTAGTAATTATTTTATTATATTCTTAAATATTTATATATTATTATATTATCAAATATTAATCACAAAGAATGTATTACACAATAAAAAATATTATATATTATTATATTATCAAATATTAATCACAAAAAATGTATTATGCAATGAAAAATCTCACGTCAACTATTTCCATACTCTGACGTTTTCTTATTCATGAACCCCACAAACTAAATAAAAATTATTTAAAATATCTCCAACTCGATCTCAGCAATCTAATAAAAAAATCGAACCCTCAAAATAATAAGTAATCCCTAATTACAAAAAAATGCATTCCACAATGAAAAATCTCACGTCAACTATTTCCACACTCTGACGTTTTCTCATTCATGCTAACCCCACAAACTGATTTAAATTGCCGTCTGAAGATTTACATTAACCACAATGTCCTGGAGACAATTACAGATCAGTCAATTACTTGACTCCATCGGCTTCATTATTTCCTTCGACTTCCTGAGGAAAATCGCGAGAAATACCTTCAGCTTCTTCAGCGGGTGGATGGGCCGAGTGGCGTAATTACTTTTTTATTATCAGACTGAGAGAAATAAAATCCTCTCAGGCTCAAGGAGATAATAAATAATAATTGCAGGAGGGCTAAGAGGGAGGTGATCACCAAGAGGTTAAGGAAACGGAGGAAAAGGTTGGAGACGTGCAGAACAAATCGAAGACCTTGCAAATGCAACTGCACCAAGTGCTCGTGAGTATTACTCCTCAGGAACGATCTCAGGGGAAATTTTCTTTACATATAAATAAATAAATAATAAGAGGGCCGAGGAATATGGAAATGTTTATATTTAAATTCATGTAATCTAACAATTTCACTGAAAAACAAAATTTCATTTGCCAAAAATATTTACTGACCGCAAAAAATATATTGTTCATATATTTTTCTTGTTTTTTAAGCGTCAGTGAATCCCGTGGGAGTATTTATACTGTGATTGCCAGATTTACTTGTGAAAAGATAATATTTTTGGCAGAGGAATTTTTTTTTCTCAGTGCAAAAATGTTCTACACTTTTTAAATCCAAAATGCAATTTTCAAAATTGATTTTTATGAGAAATTGTGAGGGAGATTGACGTGAAAAAATATAAGGTTTTTGTGTTTGGATATTATTTAAGGCCCGGATGGACTGTCCGGAAAAGATAATTTACTCCAAAATTGGGACTTCTAATTACTCCGTCGGTTAATCGTTTTTTCCGATAATTATTAGCTAGCGGCCTAGTTGTTGACAACCGCTAGAACGCTAGCTAACAATTATTGAAAAAAACGATTAATTGCCAAAGTAATTAGGAATCCGAATTTCGGAGTAAATTATCTTTTCTAGATAATCCACCCGAGCCTTAATGACTCACGAAATTTCAAGGAGCTGTGAAAATTTTTTTGTGGTTTTTCTCAATTTCTAAAAATAATTAAAACTCTGAATAGCTGCTTTTGGAAAACAATCATTATTTCATTGTTTAATGAAGTTATAAAATTAGTATAAAAAACATTAAACATAAACCATAGGCAATTAGAATTTTTAGTCCATCTCACCAAAGAGGATTGACTGAAGTAGAGGCTCAGTTCTGGGGGTTCGAGTGACCCCAGCGGCATCGTCGTACTGCACCCCAAGAGAGGGAGGGCACCACACGCAATGGGGGTGTCGTCCCGTCATGAAAATCGAGGAGGTATTCACTGAAATTTGAAAATTCGAAATTTTTGAAAAAGTATCAGGGGAGCATGAAAATGGAGGAGGTATGCACTGAAATTTGAAATTTCGAAATTTTCAAAAAAGTATCAGAGGAGCATAAAAATGGAGGAGGTATTCACTGAAATTTGAAAATTCGAAATTTTCAAAAAAGTATCAGGGGAGCATGAAAATGGAGGAGGTATTCACTGAAATTTGAAATTTCGAAATTTTTAAAAAAGTATCAGAGGAACATGAAAATCGAGGAGGTATTCACTGAAATTTGAAAATTCGAAATTTT